AAAAAAAAAAAAAAAAAAAAAAAAAAAAAAAAAAAAAAAAAAAAAGATTTGTGACTTTATTTTGAAACACTTGACTGCTTTGTTTCGGGGATTATTATAGCCATATATCCAAAAGTGTTGATATATGTAAGATAAATTGCCACTAGTTAATGTCACATCAACTTTATTATAAACTCCTATCTCAAGCAAGCACTAAGTACTTAGGTTACACTAATATGTGTACTTCCCAAGATATGCCCATTTTATACTGGAGAAAACTCAACACGATTATGATTTAGCTTACACATTGCTTTAGAATAAGTAAATGTTGGTCATAATGTTTAAATACAGCAACTATGATATTGGGATATGTTAATTGTTAGTTCTCCAGTCTGTGCTTGCTGAAACTGGAATTAACTTTACTAGTGTTCCTTCCTAGGCTACCAAGAAAAGATCCATTGCTAAGACCCCCAGCCCCTTTCCCCATTCAAGTTTTAGCACTGAAGTGTATCCCTGGAACCCAGTCATTATGGACATCTCTAGTGGATTACAGGAGAAGGAAAAGGATATGTGATTATATGTTAATAGTAACATGCTTTAAATAACCAAACAAAAGTGCTTGCCACACACTAAGCTGGCCCTTTGAATCACTTTTGGGACTAGAAGTTGTACTAGTTAGCCCAGGTGCCAGTGTCTCCACAAAAAAAAAAAAAAAAGAAAAGAAAAAAGAAAAAAAAAGAAAAAAAAGAAAAAACACAAAAACCTCTGCTTGAGAGACTCTCTAGGCCTGTCTGTCCTACTAATCATCTCAGCTAATGTAAATCTAGGATCCGAGGCTCAGCTTTGAACCTTCTAAACCAGAGGCTTTGCCTCTCAGTAGACAGAAAGACCCTCTTCACTGGAAACCTTCCCTTTCTATGTCCTATTTCCATCTGGTGTGAAAACTCCCATTCTAAATAGCTTTTAGATCATCCACGGGATTTACTGGCCAATGGTCAGATTATGTTTATGGGTGACTACTGATTGGTTATCACAATCGCCTGATCAGTCACACAAGCCATGAACACGCATTGTTTTACGGCCAGGCGCTTTACAATCCTGAGCTTTGCGACACAGAATGCGTCAGGATCACCTGATTTCCGGCACGTGGACAGTTAAAAAGCGTCAACAGATCTTAGCGGTCGTTAAAGGCTGCCGGGCGTCTAGATGGACTCCTAGCGCCCTGCTGATTGATTTCTGGAAGCTTCCGGAAGCTAGTGTAGCCGATTCTTCATCAAAATACGTAAGTTATGGATACCTTAGCACCCCCTTTTAACTTTTTTGTCATGGGTGGATGGGTGTGAGTGTACTAATGTAGAAAACGGTCGTCTGAAGCATTTGGCCTAGTGGCGCCCCCTGGGGTGAGAAGATACGTTTGGCGGGGATGGCAAATTTCTACTTTGCCGCCTCAAATTTCAAAATCTCTGCACTCGGGTGATTCCAATAATGTTTTGGTCTCCAGTGGTGATCTCGCTCTTTGGTTTCTTGAGACAGGGTTTCTCCGTGTAGCTTTGGAGCCTGTCCTGGATCTCTCTCTCGAGGCCCAGGCTGGACTCAAACTCACAGAGATCCACCTGCCTCTGCCTCCCGAGTGCTGGGATTAAAGGCATGTGCCACTACAACCACCTGGCTTGCCTCGACATTTTTATTGTAAATATGTTAGTGGGGAGGAAGAAAAAAATGTAGAGAGGTGTTGAGGCCTTCCGGAGTATTTATCATTTGCTTTCCAGTGGGCAGATGTGCCATTTGGGAACAACTGTAAAATATCTGGATTCCTGTAAGGCCCAGTAGTTTTGGGATATGCTTCTGGGACTGGCTAAGTGCTTTGTGCTCCTTAGATTTTTAAAAAAGGCTCTAATCTGTTAGGAATCATTTGGTTCCCTCCTCTCCTGCTTTTCTCCATATTCAGTTTACCGTTGTAATTTGCCATGTATGTTGTTAAGGAGAGTGGAAGGTTGATTTCAACCCTTCAGTCAGTGTGATCTATATAAATGGGATATATTGATGGGATGCAGTTCTCCCAATCGGTCTGCTTTGGGGTTTTATAACATTGAAAGGCCTAGATGCTGTAAGTTGTGTTCTGTGTTTTTAAGAAGTCTTAGAATCACAGTTTGTTTTCAGCCATGCTAGTCATTGTGATGTATTCCATATGGGATAAGTTGATAGCAACCTCAATTTGGTTGTGTGGGCATTTATAACTAAGAAATACCTCACTGCCTTGATTTGCTTTTTGTGTTTTAAAGAATTATCAGGAGAAAATGTACTTTTTAGTCATCCTAATAATTGTTAGCTGTGCCTTATGGGATAAGTGAATAGCACATAAGTTATTTGGGGTATTTTATTACATGAAGCACATCAGTCTGGCTATTGTAGTTCTCCTTGTGTTTCTTTAAGAAGAAACATAGATTTCAGCCATTCTAAAGCTATGCTTTATGTTCTTGTAGGTGACACTAGATTTGGCCTACTTTGGGATTTTTTTTAACATAGGAAGATACAGCTATTGTGAATTGTATTTTATGTTTTTAGGAAGTTTTAGCACAATAGGTAGCTTTCAGCCATCCTGGTTACCACAGGCTATGTCTATGGAGTAAGTTGATGGCAGGTGACTCGCCCAGTTTGGGTTGCTGGATTTGGCCTGCTTTGGGATTTTATAACATGGAAAGATAATAGCTATTGTGAATTGTATTGTGTTTTTTTTAGGACGTTTTAGCATAAAAGGTAGTTTTCAGCCATCCTGGTCACTGTAAGCTATGCCTTATGGGATAATTTGATAGCAAGTGACTCTTCTAGTTTGGTTTGTTGGATTTGGTCTGCTTTGGGATTTTTTTTAAACATAGGTATAACTGTTGTGGTTTATATTTTGTGTTTTTATTAAGTTTTAACTTAAAAATTAGTTTTCAGCCATCCTGGTCTCTGTAAGCTATGCCTTATGTCAGGTGACTATTCTAGTTTGGTTTGTTGGATTTGGCCTGCTTTGGGATTTTTTAAACATAGAAAGATATAGGTGTTGTGACTTATATTTTGTGTTTTTAATAAGTTTTAGTGTAAAAGTTAGTTTTCAGTCATCCTGGACACTGTAAGCTATATCTTATGGGATAAGTTGGTGGCAGGTGACTCTCCCAGTTTAATTTGTTTGGCTCTTTTTATAACTGAGTCACTGAGTAGAACATACTTTTAAGCCATCCTACCCACTGTGATCCATGCCTTGTGAGACCAACTGGTGGCCTTTGACTGACCCTCCCCCCTTGGTCTATTTGGAGCTTTTATAACTTGAAATTTACCTATTGCCTGCTATGATTTGCCTTGTGGGTTCTTAAGAAGTTTTGTAGTAACAAGTATTTTTTAGTGAACTCTGCCTTATGGGATAAGTTGATGGCAGGTGATGGTGTGGATTTCGTCTATTTGGGGGTTTTATTACTTAGGAAGATGTTATTGTTGTGATTTGCTGTCTGTCTTTAAGAAGTCTTGGGTAAAAGGTAGACTTTAGCCATCCTAATTATTGTCAACTGTATTTAATGAGATATGTTCATGCAGATTACTCTTCCAATTTGATTTTATTTGGAGTTTCACATCTTAGAAATTTCTGGCTGCTGTGATTTGGCTTTTGTGTCTTTATGAATTGTTAATGTAAAAGATTATTTTGAGCCATGTTTGTTAGTTGTTGTGAGCTATGGGATATGTTGTTAGCAGGTAACCCTCCTAATTTGGACTGTTTTGGGTTTTATGACTTGAATTGGAGTTATCCTGATGCTTTGATTTACCTTGTGTGTTTTTAAGAAGTCTTAGGGTCAAAGTCATTTGGTACTGATACTTTTTTGTTCTGATTCATGATGATAGGTAGAACCAACATTGTATTATGTTGTTGAACAACTGGCTGACTTCAACACCCTCTTTAGTTGGGCTATTTAGAAAGTGAAGGATTTTGAAATGTGTAAGTGCTGTTTTCTAACTTTTTACCCATTGTTTCATTTTCTAGGAACTTTTCTTCTAGAAGGACTTGTACCAGTGCAAGACTATTCTAAACATTAATTGTAAGAGTAAAACTTTAGAAGTAATTTTATGGTATATTCACAAGATAGGTTGTTACAGTGATCATGGTGTTAGCTTGGAAAGACCTCCCACCATAGGCTACTTTGGCCCAATTTTGAGCTTTTTGAGTTGGATCATATTCTGTGCTATCATTCATGTCTGCCTTCTTTTACTCAGGGTTGCGGCTGTGAGGTTCATCCTTCTTGGCAGCAGCAGTAAGTTATTTTTGTTGTGAGTTTTTCTTTGTATGGCTACAGCTACAGATTAATTATTCAAATGTCATGTCAATCTTCTAGTCAGGAAATCCTAAACAGTTAAAAATAAAATGTGGTGGAAATTATAGGTCAAATTGAGTTACATTACAATTTGAATATTTTATACAGCATTGGTCTGCATTTTTCTAACTCGAAAGTTAACTCTCCCATCTTAATCTCCCTTTGAATTTTGTCCTTAGGGACTCTGGTCACTTGTCTCCCCGCAACAGATTGAAGGAAAACAGGAAAGGGATGAAATCCTGATCCTCTCCCTGCTGCTCTGTCTCAGGATGAATAAAATAAATTATCTTTTGCATAGGGTGTCCCTTCAGTAACTATGTGGCAGGAATTCATGTCAGACCTCTGATATAAGGTAGAGGATCATGTCATTGTAGACATGCCTGGTTCTAGTTCCATACTGAATGACACAGCTGTAATCCAGCCTTGAGAAGTCTAGAGTTCTCAGTTTATATTTCACATATATTTATTTAGGTTTAATGTTTAAGTCTAACTCAAAGCAATCATGATTTTGGAGCTGCAATGGACCCTGGAGATATGAGCCTCAGAAGGGTTTACAGGGCAGGTGAGGAGGTGGGGTCTCTTTGGTCGCTCCACCCACATTGTAATAGCAGCCCAGTAGCAGCAGCATCACCACCACCAGCAGCCCAGCAGCAGCAGCACCACCAGCACCAGCAGCCCAGCACCAGCACCAGCACCAGCAGCACCAGCAGCCCAGCACCAGCACCAGCAGCCCAGCACCAGCACCAGCAGCCCAGCACCAGCAGCCCAGCACCAGCAGCACCAGCAGCCCAGCACCAGCAGCACCAGCAGCCCAGCAGCCCAGCAGCCCAGCACCAGCAGCCCAGAACCACCACCAGCTGCACAGGAGCAGCAGCAGCAGCAGCAGCAGCAGCAGCAGCAATAGAGACACCAGAAGTGTAGACTGGAAGCGGCAGTGACAGCAGCAGTGTCAGAGGCAGCAGCAGGGACAGTAGTGGCCGAGGCAGTAGTGACAGTATCATTGGTGTCGAGGGTGGCAGTGGAAGCTGCCATTAGATCAGAACAGATTGTTGGGGCAGTTTGGCAGCATTCTGTCTCCCTAAGCAAAAGCCCCTTTGAGCTTCTTTACAAAAGTGTTAGCAGTATATCCCCTTGTTTGGTGGCTTTTAGTGCTCACTTTTTAGACTTTCAGTTGTGAAGCAACTGTTCACAGATTGTGCTCGCTTTTAACTTCATTGTGAGCTCCTTCCTAGTCATGGATAATATAACTCTTCTATGCATAAAGATTTATTCTAGTGATGGTAATGTAGCTTAGTGATAATGCACTTGCCTAGCATGGATAAGAGCCTAGGTTCCACCCTCAGCCCCATAAGGTCACCCATGTTAAGTTGATTTAGATATTAGCTACATGAAGTAACATTTTTAAGCATTTCTTTTCAGGAGGAGAAGGTTTGCCTCTTAGATGACTAAGCAGTTTCAGAAGTAAGCCTTCCAGCAAATCTAACCATAATAAACTCAACTCAGAGGAAGTAGAATTTCTCCTGTTGCACAGCAATGATGTCTACCTTCAGAGAAATAGATGAGGTTTGTATTTGATATTGATCATTTCTGTTCTTTTCTTGTGCTATAGTTTTTGCTAAACTGAGTTAAATTAAATAAAGTGAAATGTATAGATAATAAGTGCAGTTTTGACAATGCTTTATAAAATTTCTACGAGAATTTGTGAATAAACTTAAGAACATACACTTAACATTTCTTCTGGATACTCTGAAACTGAATTGCAAACAAGTAGTCAATATAAAACTCAACTTTATGAGAATCTGACAAACAGCTTTTCAAATTGGTTTGCCTTTTAAAATTTTCTATTGTATTTTTGAGTTTCTTATTCTTTGAAATTGAAGATAAATGTAAATTATTAAACTATATTTAATTTTTCATAGCAGTGAACACATTTATTTAGTCACATAAGGCCATGTGTATTACTACCATTGAAGTAATCTAGGCAACTTTCAACTTCTGTCAACTGCTATGTTTTTCGTCAGTGGAGACAATGCTCACTGTCAATTATTGGGAGTCATTTTGGGGAAATGTGAAAACACAAACTACCATGTGAAGATAAACTACTATATTTTTGTAAGGAATGTTATATAACCCAATTGTGTGTTTTTTAGTAACCTAAGCAGTGGAAGGCTAATCACACACAGAGCTACCAAGTCTGTTTACTGTAAAATCTCCTCAACTCATTTCTTAGAATAATTAATTTGCATAAATGTAGCAGTTATTCATGACAACTTTTCTTATTTATACCCTGTCTTATTTCAACAACATTTTAAGGTGTTTTAGAAATTAATTTATTAAGAGTACGACATGCTTGCATGTTTCCTAATTCGACCACACGGTGGCACTGTTGGATTGTTCAGGAATCAAAACTGGTGCAATGCTCTGGTTTTTGTTGTTTTTGTCAGTTTTTGTTGTTATTGTTGGGGATTTTTTGTCTGTTAGTTTGTTTGGGTTTTTTCCCCTGAAAGCAGTTTCAACACTGAAGACCTGTGTCCTGAAGCACAGGAGGTTTTAAACTTGCTGGAAAAGGGGGTTCTGGTGTAGCTGGACTAATGAGAGCACAATTCTGCAAGTGGACTTTTTCCTCTTGTTTCCTGAAACAAGGTCCTTGGCCTACCCAGGCTGTCCTTGAACTCATCCTCCACCTGCCTAAACTTCCTGGCAAGGAATGGAAACAATTGCCAGTCAACTAAAGGATAGAGGAAAGACTTTATTACCAGAAGAGTCTAGGTTTAGAATTCTAGTGAAAAGTTGTTCAGAATGTCCTAGTACATAAGAAGAAGGAACATGTAAAATGCTAAGAGTTCACTGACTAAAGAGATTCTCAGGATAGAGTATTACCATGCCTGACTCATATATACTTTTCTACACAGACATGACATTTAAAACAGGCAAAGGCCCTTTGAGAATACAATAGGTTTTCAAAACTTCTGAGAAGTGAAATTAAAGTCCTCAGCTTTTCTTTTTGTTACTTTATATTTCCTTTTAATTTGCTAAGAAATCTTTCTCCTATATGAATATGAGAATGTCTCCTTAGGATGGTAATTATAATATGCTTTATGAGTATGCACCTTTCAGTTATGTAAGTAATATTAAGCAACTAGATGTCCAGTATATCAATGCTTACCATTTTAATGAGCAAGGTTTAAATTCCAACTAGTTTATGGAGTTCTTCTAAACTGTCACTCAAGGTCATACTCTATCCTGAGAATCTCTTTAGTCAGTGAACTCTTAGCGTTTTACATGTTTCTTTTTCTTATGTACTAGGACATTCTGAACAACTTTTCACTGGAATCCTAAACCTAGAATCTTCTGGTAAAGTCTTTCCTCTATCCTTTATTTGACTGGCAATTATTTCCATTCCTTGTAATGTGAATTTTTATTTCATCTCTGCTTTAAGACTTTTGATATATGGATGAAAGTTAAAAACAAATAGATAAGTATGAGGTATTGTCACTATTTGATGTGACTCTTACTGAAATAAAGCATTAACTACTTGTGGTGTAAAAACTATTCTAGAAAGAAACTTACTCACCTGAAATTTCTGAAATTGAAGACCCAAAAGCCACCGTGGATATCCTGAACTATTGTCAGGTATGACACGTCTCCTTTCAGTGTGTTTTTCTAGAATGTTAAATTGTAAACATTTTTTACTTCATATGAGGGGGAAGTGTGTAATTAACTGGAAATTTTGCCATATCAAATTACTTGTGATTATTCACCTCATTGTGATTATTTTGACAGTTTCTACTTAGAATAATATTTTCAGGTAAAAATTTGAAATACTAATATGTGCATTTTAGAACATTAAAAACATTATCAGATTTACTTATGTCTTTTCCATCTATATTGCCCAATATTAATTTCCACTATAAAATTTTAAAAGGAAATTGGAAGATTTGGATGCAGGTTTTTTTTTGTATTTATTTTACAATACTATTCAATTCTACATAATAGCCACAGATTCCCTTGTTCTCTCCCTTCCTGCCCCCTTCCCCTTCCCCCCAGCCCACCCCCCATTCTCACCTCCTCCAGATCAAGGTCTCCCCCGAGGACTGGGATCAACCTGATAGACTCAGTCCAGGCAGGTCCAGTCCCCTCCTCCCAGATTGAGCCAAGCATCCCTGCATAAGTCCCAGGTTTCAAACAGCTAACTCATGCAATGAGCCCAGGACCTGGTACCACTGCCTAGATGCCTCCCAAACAGATCAAGCCAATCAACTGTCTCACCTATTCAGAGGGCCTGATCCAGTTGGGGGCCCCTCAGCCTTTGGTTCATAGTTCATGTGTTTCCATTCGTTTGGTTATTTGTCCCTGTGCTTTATCCAACCTTGGTTTCAACAATTCTCACTCATATAAACCCTCGTCTTTTTCACTAATTAGACTCCCAGCGCTCCACCAGGGGCCTAGCTGTGGATGTCTGCATCCAGATTCCTCAGTCCTTGGATGGGGTTTATGGCACAACTATTAGGGTGTTTGGCTGAAGTTTTAATATGTGCCTAATTAATTACATATGAAGGTATCACAACTGAGATGAATGGGCAGCCTACTCGTGTTTTACAAGGAATTTATCTTATATAATTTGGAGGGGAGATCATAAAAGTGAACTTTGGTGTGGGACTGATAGAAGTATGTGATTATTGTGGATTTTGTGAGCTGTATACTCCAGAGGCAATGGAGGTTCAAAGAAATGGTTCTTATCCCATTAGGTTTACAATAGACTGAACTACCACAGTTTGAAAAGTAAGATTGTGTGTGTCTTATCTTTTAGACTGACACTAGTGAGGACAGAAGCCATGCTGACAGGTCATGGTCTTAAGATTGTGCAGGAGTAGAGGAGGCTGGGCAAGGCTGCTTGGCCTGCAGTGCCCAAATCTTGGCAACCCTGAAGCTTAGACCAGTAATTATGCAAGTTGAATGGGGTATGACATTGCAGATGAGCAGTGCTTAGGTTCTCCAGCTATGCCCCTCAGGGGCCCTTGAGAATCCTGTCACTTTGTTGAGCATCCTGACATGCCCTCCTTACCTGTCTGTGTAAGAGATAATAATAGTAACAATAGGTAATCTTAGTACTCTGAAGGCACAAGTTCAAGGCCAGCCCGATCTATATAGCTAGTTTAAGGCCAGCCAGGGGCTACACAGTGAGACTCTGTCTCAAAAAATAAAAACACAGAAACAAAGGAGTCTCTTACTATTTTTAAGTATTTTTTTACTATCTTTTTGGGATTATAATATAATTAGAACATTTACCCCTTCCCTTTTCTCCTTCCAAACCTTCTCTTAAACCCCTCCTTGCTCTCTTTCAAATTCATGACATCTGTTTTCATCAATTGCTATTGCATGCAAATATATATACCTAAATATACCTAGTATACACCCTGTTCAACCTGTATAGTGTTACTTGTATACATGTTTTCAGTGCGTCTGGCACTGTACAACCAAGTGGTGTGCTCTTTCCTGGGAAGATTGTTCTCACAGTATTTCTTAGTTGCCTGTAGTTCTTTGTGCAGAATGGAGCCCCTGTGGGCTTTCCCCCATTCGCTTTGGCATGTTTATTGTTATCCTTCTTGTTCAGCTGATGTTAGGTAATCATGCAGGTGATACTTTATGGGTGAACCCTCTGGCATTACTAGGATACATGGTATCACAGCAAACCCCCAATCCTTTGGCTCTTACAATCTTTCTGCCTCGTTTTCCACAATGCTCCCTGAGCCTTAGGTACCGGAGTTGTTGTATAGATACATTCATTAGCACTGGACTCTCCCCAGAGCACATTTTGAGAACCTCTGCCCCAGGCTGCTTATCTCTTGCTCTGCTGAAATGGTCACTTGGTGTGCAGCTCTCAAGATAAGATGAGCATTTCTCTGGGACAGGGGTTTCCTTTTGTAGGTTTTGTTGTTGTTTGCTTGCTTGCTTTTCATGATTTTAAAGTTCATGGTCTCAGAACCTAGCAAAGCAATTCTAACAGAAGGAAGGCATTTATCCTTGAATGAAGGAATGTTTATGGTATTTTATAAATATGTTCTCTGAAATTTCTGAGCATTTCTAGAATGTTATCGGTGGTGTTCCTCATTGGTACGGCATGTAAGGTGTACTCAATGACATTGTGAGAACATCACTAGATACTTAATTTTTAGACTAGTTTGGAGCCCTACATCACATATGTTTTAGTTGGTTCTATATTCTCAGAGTGGAACATTCACTGTTCACAAGCTGTGGTGTAGAAGCTGACTCCTATTGTTAGCGGATCTGAATGCTTGTGTCCTAAGTTAGCACCCTCATGGATGGGAAGCAGCCGCAGCACACACAGGTGGGAGGTTGTCAGGAGCTGTGATGCACTCACCTTATGACACTAAAGATACTTCTATGTATGCATGAATCAGCTACTGCAGTGGCAGGTGGAGATTCAGTATCTCAGCCAGTGTTCTGGGTGCCTTAAAACGAGGCCTTTAATAGAACATTTCCACAGTGCCTAGCAATTAACTCTTGGCTTTGTGCATTTTTACGTGCTACTTTTCTTTTGAAAGAGCATCTACTAATACCTTTTATTGTAACAGGTTATATATAAAACTGTTCAAAGGCTGGAAAAGAAGTTTGATGACCTGGATGAAAAAGTAACAAAAATATATCACTCTCGTGCTAGATCCTTCTGGCGTTATCCTGTAAGTGTACAAAAACATTATCACAACTTTGATAAGTATATTCTGTCTAAAGATACCAGTCGTTGCAAAGTAATGGAGAGCTAATAAATGTGGGATCGAGGCTTATCTGTACTTCCTGGAGGAGCAGATGGGAACTACAACTCTTTTTGAAAGAATAATCAAGTTCAGAATTGATGAATGTAGAACAATGAGTATTTTGAAAATATACATTTTAAAATGTTCCTATAAAATATACATCAAATTAAATGTAGGTCAGAAGAGAACACTATTTTTTAATGTTAAATAATGTTGCATAGAAACCTTAATGTCCTGACTATTCTTTATTTCTCTTTTTATTATGAAGCCTTTTAGAGCAGTATCCAGAAGATACAATTACCTGATGTCTAGAAGACATAAACTTCAGAAAGTGAGACGATTCATTAATGACAATTTGATCTCCCGTCCTCACAGTTACAGTCCAACTACAGTAGTCTTCGAAAGGAATGAAGATAGTGAGGATATGGAGAACAATCAGACTGTAGATTACCTCCAGGCTTTCCAGTACCCCAATTCTATTGACAACACCCAGACTTTCCAGTACGCTGATTGTATTGACAATAATCAAGCTTTGCATTACTCTGATGATCTCTACAACACTCAGGCTTCGAAGTATGCCAATTCTATTGACAGCAGTATCCAGAACAATGAAGACAATGATGTTTTCCATTCTGAGGATTCACAGGAAGTGATTCTTGTCAATTCTTCACCAGAGAGGGACTATGAAGAAACTCCACCAAGTCCTACATCTACTGGCCAAACCTACCAACAGTATTACAGATTTAAAAACAATCCTAGCTCCTCTCCAGTGGCCTACTACAGTGACTTCGAAAATACCAACGTGGACACCATCACTTCTACCACTTCAACAGTGAGGGAAGCAAGTACCCTCCCTCCAGGGGAGCTCATCCCCATCCAGAATCCTGAAATGAGGCGATTGGCCTTACTGGAGGCTCAGCGTTCACCTGTGATTGATCCTAACACTTTTGGTGAGTTCGGGATGGCACCAATGATTAACATCCTCTAAGTAAGCTAATAGAAGCTTCTTGTTTCCTATTTCGATGGTTGATTTGTAGCTATATGTACAATAGTGGCTGTTTATTAAGCAGATATTATGGGTATGGCAGTGTGCTAATCAACTCACATGGATTGTCTCTGGTGGTCTCCATAATGACACCATTGTGATATTGAAATCTATTTTATTTACCTTTCCCCATAGTAAATACTCAAAATAATCATAAGGTGGTAAGAAAGAAGGGATGTACTTTTGGGTAATTCACAAACAGAAAAAATGAAATTTTTATTGATTATCTTTGGTTAGAAAATAAGATCCTCCCAACAAATTACCTATCCACTTTCATTTGTCATCACACATTAACTGTAGGAAGTAAAACATTCTATTTAAGGTAACATTTGAACACAAAGAAGTTTCCACACAACTTAGTGAATAGCACAGGTAAAACCTGCTGAGATGTAAGCACTTACATGGTTTCATGTGTCATTTCTTTATTAAGCATATTCAACCAAAACATTTATTGCTATTCAATTAAACATGAAAGAATAATTGCATGAAATGTCAAAACCACTACTGATTAGATTCATCAGAAAATATTTTTTAAATGCAGATTAACATTTAAACCACAAGAGATGTGAATTTATAGAGTAAAGGTCAATCTAAAAATGCCAACATTGAATATAAGGGAGAGATTTGCTCCAAAGAACTTATTTTGTTACCCAAGATAATTGTGGTTATTGAAATTAGTTGATATACCTAAAAAAATAAGCAATTATAAAGTGTAAACATGGGGGATTTCTACTGTGTTTAGTACAGTAAACCTAATTTAGAGAATGTGACATTTAAGAGAGGTTTTCAAGAAATTCACTGAATTCCTTAAAGTAAGAAAGAGTACTGAGTTAGCTCATTTTATCCCACTTTAATCCAACTAGCACCTTTTCCTGTATTTGCTTGTGACCTAAGAGGCCTTGGATTGCTACAAGTGTTACATGAACATTGAAGCTTTAAGGTGCCTTCTAAAGTAAACTGTTTCTGTTCCTTGGGGGAAGTCCATTGATACACTTAATGCAGCGCTCCTCAGATCATCTTTCTTCAGGCTCTAATGATTCTACAGTTGGAATCTTGAGTCTTTAGTTCGGTACTTAAGAGAAGGTTCCAGGAGTGAGACCATTACTTTCTACCTAACATCTCTTCTTTCAGAATTATGATCAGGTTTTTTAACTTTTCCCCCATTCATTGTTAATTGCAGGTTCATCATCCGAATGTAATGATGCTGTTGTGAGACACCTTGGAAGCCCTGCAAACTGGTCTGTGGATGACGTGATAACATTTCTGAACCGTTTAGATCCTCCGTTGGCCGACCAGCTCTACCCCATCATCAGAGAACATGTAATGTATTTTTAAATCCAGTTTTCCTGCTAGCCTAATGCATTGAATGACCTCTGTGCACTTTCAGTTGGATACTGAGTCGCCAGCTGAGTCAGTAGGGGAACCCTATCATCTGATTTATTTTTTGTTTGTGAAAAGTTTGTCTTGTCCATCCTTCTATGCTTAAATGGTAGGTTAATCGTCTCTTCTTTACATGGGTATCTAAACATCTAATACACTAAATAGCCTCAAGTTCGGTGGTTCATGATTATAAGTCTCAGGCAGACCTCTTTCCATGCAAGGATAATTACACAAATCCCCCCATACTTGTGCCCTGTTCATAAGTAAGAGGAGTTTACCCACAGTGCATACCAGAGTAGCCCTCTTGTCGTGATATTCAGAAACTAGTTCCAGCTGGTCAGTTCTGTTTACCTTATGTGACTATTGACAACTGTGATGCTGATGACCATTTACAAAGCAACATCATGGTTAAATTTTACTTTTCCCTGGTATTTTCTTAACTTTTTCCTTTGGTGACTTAAAATTTTGATTCTAGAGGTCTTTTACTTTCTTGGCTTGGTTGATTCCTAAGTAAACCTTTAAAAAAATGTTCTGAACAAGTATTTTTTCTCTAATTCCTTTCTTGGCAAGGTTTTTTTTATAGTTATATAGGGAAGCTAATGCTTTTTTTTTTTTTTAAATGAGAATACAGGCTACTTTTATTCTGATTTGAGAATTTCCCTACAGATGTCCACTACTTTTGGTTCTTGGAAGACTCTTTCTGTCATTTCTTCCAAGATGATTTCTGATCTGAACCTTGGGTGGCAGGGCAGCGGGGGGGAGGGGGGGATCCCTGTATGCAGATGAGTTGTGGGTCTCTGTATTGATCACCATGTCCTGGAAAAAAAAAACTTTTATGTTGAGGGTCCAGAGATACACAAATCTATATTATAAAGATAAGAACTAAGGGGGCAATTTATTGCTATGTTCATTTAGAAAAATAATCATAGTAAGTTCTCTCCTAGAGCCTTATGACCTATCCAGCCATAGGATTTTAGATGAATTCTGTCTATGTACCAGGCTTTAAATCCAAACAGCAAATGGTTAGCTAGTCCCATAACATTCATGCAAAACATACCTATAATCCCAACTACTTGGGAGGCTGAGTTAGGAGGATCACATGAGTCCAGAAGTTCTGGACTGTAGTGTGCTATGCCCATTGGATGCCCACACTAAGTTGGGCATCATTATGATGACCTTCTGGGAGCAGGGACTCACTTAAGGAAGGATGAACTGACACGGGAAGCTACTGATTTTATAGTCTATGACTACTGGAAGTTTAATCAGATCTCAACATTTTCTGCTGGTGTCTCTAGGCTCTTTCAAGTATAGGGTCATATGACTGAAAAATAGAGATAGTTTGACTTCTCCCTTCCTGTTCGTATTCCTTTTTTAGTTCTTTCTTTTATCTTGCTGTTATGAGCTGAATTTTAGTAAGTTCTAGTTCCTTTCCTTTCTAATTTTACTTCCTATTATAGGAAATTCTGGATCTTCTTAGACAAGAATGTGTAATTGAATAAAGTTTTATTTTATGCTGGAACTTATAAAACAAATACTATGTTTTAGTAGCATAAGGTGATGGTAAATTAAGGCAATAAAGAATTTTTGTAAAGATGCCTTGTGACTATCAAGTAGTAGAGTATCTATACACCATTTTCAGTATAGAAAGAAAACCAATAATTAATCTTAATGTCTAATTGGATTCAGACAAGTAACTCAACTTCATATAAAGACAACGCTATTGAACACATTTACAGTTTGAATTGATATTGATATATTCCTAGCCTCTATCAGAAAGTTAATAGCCATGAAATCTATTCTCTTATTCTTTTTACCTTTGTCATAGATAAACAGTATTTTTATTTATCACACGGTATTTAAAATTAGGTCGTTTGATATAGTTAACTTTATTAAGTTAAATTTGCTTTTTCTTAAATTGATATGAATATATAAGTTTCAAAATGATACATTGCAGTGCAATGGTATTTTTGATAGTTTTTATACAGGAGATACTTGAGAAGCTTTAGTTTTACACGTTCTTATATACAAAGAAACAGCTGCTTATCAAATATAACAATATTGTTAATCATTTTAAACTTTTTCTCTCTATAGGCTATCGATGGGAAGGCCCTGCTGCTGCTTGATTTTGATGTGATGGTGAAATATATGGGGATGAAGGTGGGAGTAGTCATGAAATTTAGCAGCTACATTCAAAAGCTTAAAGAAGGAGTAAAATGTGACGAGTAAACTTTTCGTTTGTAGAACTTCAAATGTTCTCATTAAATTCCTTCTTAATGCACACTTGACTCCCTGTGCTCATTAGTTTTGGTTCTGGAGAAGGTTCTCCTAAAATATAATTAAAATTGAGAAAAAATACATTATAGTCTGCTTGGAGTTACATTTAACATATTAGTATTAACATACACATATGTCTTCTTTAGATTTTTCATTTTATAGATTAAAATATGCTTCATGCAAAAAAACAAAAAAACACCTTTGACTTGGGTTTAACTTTATACATATTTTTTTTTTTTTTTTTTGGTTTTTCGAGACAGGGTTTCTCTGTGTAGCTTTGCGCCTTTCCTGGAACTCACTTGGTAGCCCAGGCTGGCCTCGAACTCACAGAGATCCGCCTGCCTCTGCCTCCCGAGTGCTGGGATTAAAGGCGTGCGCCACCACCGCCCGGCATAACTTTATACATATTTTTAAAGCAACTAAATAAAGAGGAAATATAAGGAACTAATAACATATAGTTAAAGTGGTGAAAATTTTTCACAGAAGAGAAATTAAGGGAGAATATATCATTAACCTTATTGGATAGTTTATCTCTATAATACTGTAGTATACTAGCTTCCTATAGCCTCTTAATAAGAGAGCAATTCCCAGTCTAGCCTTTTGGTTCATGGGATATTTCCAGCCCCTTATCTTTGTGTCTGCAGCCAAGAGACTTACTATGATTGCTGGGTCACCAGTCTGCTACAAAGACTGAGCTGATTTGCCTCATCCCATACCTTAGGAGACTATCATTTCAAGTCCTGAAGCAGGATCCCTGATTCTGGATTTGCTTCCTCTGTAGAATCTGGAAGAGCTAGAAGACATTCTTCAGGTAAAGGGGCAATTAAGATAAGTTGATAGGCAGCTGCAAAGGAAATTTTAGTTTTTGAGGAGTAAAGGTCATGGTGATATCCTATTTTTAAAGAAGATCTCTGCCTAGAAGGGAGGAAAGGGCAATCTGGAACTACCATGAAGGAGTGAGTCATCTGTCTGTGGCCCAGGTGTTCTTTCAGATGTGAGGTGATAGTCTTTTATCAGGTCTGTGTTTTCCTGTACTGACTTCCTGTACTGTACTTCCCCTACTATTCTTTTTATTTGTAACCAGCCCCAATGGACTTTTAAAAACAGATACTTCTGCTCCAGTGTCTAATCAAAACTGAATTTGATGATCTCTTATTGATACAGTAATCAAGGGATCTTGGATGCCTAAGAAGGTAAACCTCAGGTCCTTCATTCTGATCCACTATCCATCTCCCTTGTGGTCAAGAGGGTTACTGCTTTCCTGGGTCTGCAGTGGCTCAGGCATTCATCCTTTCCGTGTCCCCTTTCCTTACAATAAGTACATTGATCCCTTTTCAGTGGGGACTTCTCCATCCTCCCCATTTTTGTTTGGGGGGGGTGTTTCTAGCCTCTGGGCAAACAGTAGGGAGCTTGGGGTTAGTTGACTGGAAATCAGCCATCATAACATTGGCCTGCAGCTCAGTTGGCAATCAAGGCAGCTTGTCTGCTTTTCAGTATGTCAGTTATTGAAAACTTTTGAGCCACTCCAATAAGCTGGGAGTTAGTCATTCGAGCAAAAGCCTCTAGCTTTTGGAGTTTTGTGTGACTATCTGGGGCTTATTGAATGACAGAAGGCAAATTTAGTGTCCTAGCATTTTCCAGAGCCAGTGAGTCTAAGGGGGTAAAGAAAATGCAGAAAGCTTTTTGTGTTATGGAGTTGGTGACCCCTGGGAAAAAGATCATAGACTCAATCCAGATTATAGTTAGTTAAATTTATCACAATCGCTAGCAGGACAATAATCTCTGAGCCAAACTTGAGACTACTGTGAGAAAGTGAGTGAGGGGCAATTTTAAGGGATGAAAGCACAAGAAGACCTTGAGTATCTGCACCAACCAAGAGCTGTTCTGCTCTGCCAAGGTTTGGTAGTCAAGGTGACCTCAAAATAGTTCTTGAATGTCTGCATAAGCAGACGACAGAAGCCAAAAAGCAGTTAGTCATAACATAACAAGTAGATAGCCACAGCTGTACAATTTTGGATTAGGGGGCAGTCACTGAGTCAAGGTTACTGGAACTTATCTTTTATGGACTGGATTCAGAGACAAAGAGCTAGTGGATACCAGGATGGATGCCTAGCATAAAATGGATTTTTTAAAAGGCCATCTATATTGTAATCACTCAAGAAATACCTTGAGACTCCTCTGGGCCCTGGAGAACCTCAGTAGTCTTAAACAAATTAGTAGGTTTTTTGAGCTGTGCCCAGAATTCCAGTCATAAGGTACTGATAAACTTTCCAGGGCCTGGGAACTGCAAAAGCAATTAGGGTCCCAATCAGAGCACTTCCATGGGAAAACTGCATCAGCATTTGTACTAGTGGCTGAGGTAAAAAAAAAAAATGCCTTCTTTGCCTCTGCCTCAATATGTTCTCTTTCCTCTGAAGTAAATACAATCAGAAGGAGTTGCTTGCAGTCATCCCAGGGTGGACCATGGCTGTGGAGGACAGATTTCAGGAGGGCAGTAATGGGCTTTGGGCTTGTCAGAAAAGGGGAGGGTTGGGTTTTCCAGTTATACAGACATGTGAAGTGGAGAAAGGGACAGGGACTAAGAAAAGGTGGTGCCTTTTCCCTAAGCTCATGCCCTCACTTCCAGGAGAGAAAGGACCTCTAGCAAGGAAAAGACAAAGGCTAGGATCTGACTCAAATCTGGAGTGTGGCAGACCCTCAAGCAGGATGCCAAAGTGGGGAAGTGCAGGAATGGGTGGGGGACTGGATGTCTCCATCAGGAGGCACTGTGATGGTTACAGAAGGAAAGGGGGAGGAAACAGGAGTTACAGATCCAGGAAGTGGGGAAGTAGGAATAGGGACAGAGGGAAGAATAGAGGAGCTTGAGGTTGGGGAAAGAGGGATGAATCTGGAGGAGATGGGCAAGATGTGTAAGAGTTGTGGGGGTGGGGGAGAAAAACCAACAGAGGGCCCCAGGACAGGTAGCAGGATGCAGGTGACAGGGAACGTTTTAGAAACCAAAACAATAGGATAATCCCTAAAGTGCAAACCTTAAGACAATTAGGTAGGTTTTGAATAAGTACCAACCATTAACCAATATAGATCAGGGGGCCCTGGGGATCCTGTGCTTTGAGCCAGACTGATTTCACAATGGCTGATTCTATGAACCAATAAATGGTCCGCTTCATAGGAGGGCCAGTCAGTCTCACAAAAAGCAAGCAGCTTTTCCTTCAAGAGTGAACCCTCATAGTCTCCCCAAATCCTTGGGAGCATTCTTTCCCATAAATAGAGGGGTGAGAGTTTGGATTTTGCAATTCCCATGTTAGAAGAGAATTTATGTGACTCAGTGAAGTAGACAATAAGACCAACCCAGAAGCACTAGCAACAAAGACAACAAACCCAAGTAAGACTTGTCAGAGGTCCTCTGTTTGGAAGCAAGTGAGAAGCCTAGTCAGAGGGGCAACTCCAGGAGCAGTTTAGTATCCCATCTAGGAGGGGAAAGAAAACAATTGGGGAGTGTGCAGACAAAAAGACAAAACAAACAATAGCATACAAAGGGTGCTACCAGGTGGCAGACTCTAGAGAAGCTTTCAGGAGAGTTCCCCCTAGCCGGTTCAGTCTACTTTTCATAGAAGAGGAATGTATGGTGCTCCCTCTGCTAGGAGGAAACAGTGTGAGCTCACCCGCCTGGGAGGGTATAGGTGTAAAAGTCTAATCTGCAGGTATGGACAGTGTCCGAAGCCCTTACAGGAACTGCAAAGGCCCGAGACCCACATGTAGAGATAGAAGGGTCCACAGCCCCTTGTGTAGATGTGGTATTGCTCAGAGCCCCTTCCTCATGTGTGGGTGGTTCTAGGACACCTCCTGTATAGCTGGAAGTTCCCTGAGCCTTTTCCAAAGATGAGGTACATTCTAGAAACCTAAAGGAAAGCAGAATAGGGTCAAGGTCACATTGGTCAGATGTATTGGGTGTGAGGCCTCCTTCAGCTATTAAGGCAGAGCTGAGGCCCTGTGGGTCACAGGTTTGCTGGCCCAAGCCATGGTGATCTGAAGGTGATGTACTGAGCCCCCTTTGTGCTGAGGGCACCTGTTTCATTAGAGAAAGAACATATGGGCCCTCTTTGGCTAGAAGGTAATGATGTGAGCTTGTCTGCCTGGGAGGGCATACGTGTGAATGACCATGGCCCTTGTCAAAGGCCCTTGCAGGAACTGTAAAGGTTCCAAGGACCCTGGTGCAGATGAAGAAGGGGCTCCAGCCCCTGGGGTAAATGAGGTAGTGTCCAGAGGCCCTTGGGCCAGTTTGTCAGGACCTGGGGCTGACTGTGTATATATGTAGGACCCCGGAACCCCTTTGACAGATTTGGAAGGTGTCATGTCCTCTTGAGGCCAGCTGTAGCCCTGAGGGGTCCTGCTCCCATGTGAAAGTACCTACAGCCTCAGGTGTGCATGATTCTTCTGACAGAGCCCCTTGAACAGATGGCAGGCCTCTATAAGGGCCCTGGTGAGTTGATGAGCTCCTAGCACCAACTGTGTAGGTGTGCGGTGTCTGGTAGCCCCTGGAGAAGGAGGAGAAGGAGATTTTTTTTTGGTTTTTTGAGACATGGTTTCTCTGTGTAGCTTTGCGCCTTTCCTGGATCTCACTCTGTAGCCCAGGCTGGCCTCGAACTCACAGAGATCCGCCTGGCTCTGCCTCCCGAGTGCTGGGATTAAAGGTGTGCGCCACCACTACCTGGCTATTTTTTAAAAATTTAACTTTTGTTGATTCTTTGTGGATTTTTACATCATGCATCCCAATCCCACCCATCTCCCCATCCTACCCCTGCAATTCACCTTCCACCCTTGCAACCTCCCCCTGAAACAAAACAAACTTTAAAAGAAAAACCAAAAACCAAAGAAAACTAACAAACAAAGCAAAAGAACAAACACAAAAGGAGAAGAATCTCGTTGTGGAAGCTGTGGTGTGGCCCGGTGAGTCACACTGTTCACCCTTAGTCCTTCCAGCTTCCCTCACAAGTGTTCACTGCT